CTCCTACTACCTTTTATGGGAGGTGTATTGTGCAACTGAACCACAGCACTTCCTCCACTGATTACAGGCAACCTGAGGCAACACCAGCCTCTAGGTAGGCAACACCAGATACCATTACAAGTCTATGCCCTTGCTATTTGATCACAGCAAGTGCACAGGAGTGTGAGGGTACCCAGAATCCCAAACCTACAATCCTACAAACCAAATCATCATAACATCCGCCTTTAATAGGCAATGCCGTAACCATCAATGGCCACAACTACACGGCCAACAACCATCAATGGCTACATCAACAGCCAGCATCGATGGCAACAACAGCCAACAACGGCATCTACCACTACCAAACCGATTACAATGAATCGACCAAACCAAATCCAAATTGCATCTACAATAACGGCAACTGCAACAACAGCAGAACGACAGTGAACGTTGAACCGAGTAGCTAGCTACAAGCAAGCCACTCAAGAGTTCACAAGACAAGGAACCAAGCCACAGGATGGCTGGAGCATTCAGAGTTTGACCCACAAGCGGGAACCTGACCAATAGAAACAACAAGAGGGTGCACACCTCAGCTCCACTGCAACTACTGTACAGAGATTGCAACCAACCTAGTCTCACACCAACAACAGAAGTACACCAGTACAACAAATCAAGCCAACCATAGATACAACTACGGACAACTACAAGTCCTGCCACAGCCAACTCACAGGAGTGTAAGAGCAGTGACAGAACCAACACTTGTCCGGCCACAGCCATCTCACAGGAGTGTAAGAGCAGTGACATCACCAACCAAGGGATCTACCGACTACATCACCATCGAACCATCATCGACCGTGACACGTCCAGGTCCAGTGGAGCCCATCAAGTTGGAGCATCCACAACTACTACCGAATCCTTCCTTAAAAGTATCCAAACTTCCAAGGGCTTCTAGCCCCAACTCAAAGTATCATTGTGGCAAGGAACTTCCTCCTAGTTCCAGCTACTACAACAGTTCTCCCACGTGTCGCTATAGCCTGACTTCCCAGTCTCAGCTACGGCAACACCAAATGACGGTACCAAGCGTACCAAGTGACGGCACCAGTCACCACAAGTGATGACACCAGCAGTCACGAGTCTCACATGAGTATAAACAACCATGACAAGAGGAAACAATAACTCAACCATTTCCTCATTCCATCTTCAGACATCGAGACCATCCAAGAACTAGGTTCAGTTGAACCCAACATGTCCGTGACTTCCAAGCTACATCATTTGCAGCTTCAATGCACCTTCCAATAGGGCATCACTTCACACAAGTCTACGACTTCCAGAAGCTTCAACCAGCTTCCATCTACGAAGGGCTTCCAGCCCCATCAAGTGTCAATGCAGCCGAACTTCCCAGTCCGAGCCGCAGGTACACCAAGTGACGGTATCATCCGACACCAGTCTTCCAGGAGTGGCACCACTCTCAGAAGGAGTGCCAGCCACAAAGACTTTTCTGATGATGACAATGTCCGTATTGTCTCATCTCCACCGCTCAGCTTCTCGTTACCAAGCGGGATGCCGAGCAACTACTTCCAAGGTTTGTTCTGGACCCATTGCAAGCCAGTCGGCACGACGACGTGAGACTTGGATTACAAAGCCTTTCCAAGGCAGGAGCCTGCTTACCCAAGCACTGATAGACACTTTGAGTGCTATCGATTCTCAGGAATCCTAGAGGCACCGCCTCAAGCTCCACAGCAATCCAAGTTGCATCCAATGTCCAAACAAACCAAGCCAGCTTTGGCTACAACAAGTACAAGTCCTGCCACAGCTAGCTCACAGTAGTGTGCCAACAGTGACAGCAGGAGTGGTATTGATAAAGTTGTACCCACCAAAACCAAAGTCTCAAACCTTTTTCAACCTTCCTTTGTATTCTCCGATCGATCTATCCAGATTGACACACCAGATCGACTGACAAGACACGATCATGCCAGATCGAATGACACGATGCGATCGAATCACAAGCAGCGACCACGAGATCAATTCAGTTTGACTCTCGCGATCGACTCAGAAGATCCATCATGAGATTGCAAGTGCGACCACAGAAGCCTATCTAGGCAGAGCAAGCTTACTCAAGCAAGGGTAGCCACACACCAGTGCTACCGGGATATCTTCTGCAGAGGATTCCCACAGTTCCACAGGAACAGTTCCACCATGGAACCAGCTCACAGCAAGCAACAGTTCGACGGAACGCCACAAGTTGCCAGCACCCATCTACAAGAGGTGCAAACCAAGGTCCACATCAAGCAAGCACACATTCATGTACAACAAGTCACAGCCATTCGATTCCAAAGAAGAGGAGGCCGTGATGAAGGAAGAAGCTTCCCCAGCTGGGAAGAAGAGGATTCCATTCCTCTGGAAAAGACAACAGCAGGACATCCAACACTGCTTGGACATCCAACACTGCTTGGACATCCAACACTGCTTGGACATCCACAAGAAGAGACAGCTCACGTTCCATTCCAACAATGGACAACAAGCTGACTCCAGATAGCTACCAAGCTACTGCACAGACTCATGCTCACCTGATTTCCAAATCCAGTATCAAGCCTGAATGGATTGATGTTTCCACACATCATTGACGATTGAGACCATGGCATATCAATGTCCAGTTCAGTCTACACCGCCAGCCAAGAGCACAGTCTGAGTCTACGCGAATGCAGCCGGAACTTCCTAGTTTCCAGCTACAGCAATACCAAGTGACCGTAACTTCCCAGTCCACGGTTCAACAAGTGATCGGAACTTCCCAGTTTCGAATACAGCAACATCAAGTGACGGCATCAATTGCCACAGCAAGTCATACAGGAGTGGCAACACTCACAGGAGTGGTAGCCACAGTTGCTTTTCATGACGACACTGTCCACATGTCCACATTGACTGTGACAGATTTGTCAGCACTGCTATGGATGACAAGCTTCTCGCCACCAAGCGGAATGCCGAGCAACCTAGCAATTGGTCTCTCTCGACCAACAACTGTTCCTTATGGAGCAACCATCATTACATTAATTATTCGTTCCACGGTATCCTTTATGGAACCGTGCAGGAGTGTGTTGGAGGTTGTATTACAGACACCTCAATACAAATTAGTCGTTTATCCCAATCTAGTTATAGGGGATATCTATATCTATTCTCTAGTTACATACATGGGGAGTTTAACTGATCTATATGGTCACCCCCTTCACTATATCCTTTGAAGTTGAATCAATCCCAGAAAACATGGAGAAAGATCACTTCTTGGAAATAGCTTAACAGTAAAACAGTATTTTACCTTTACTAAGCTAGAGTGTTACTAGAAACCAACACCCTTTGCGCCTACCTTTGGTCCAGCAACCGACCAACCATGCACGTCCCTCCACTTGTGAGACCCCATCTCACATTGTGTTCCACTAGCAGTCGATGCCGAGTGGCCCATGAATGTTCCGTTCATGGGGAGAGTATGTACTGTAGTTAGTTAGTAACTAATCGTATATCGTGGCATTCCCATGAGAGCGGATCCATACGCACTCGTGGGGAGCGATAACTTTTAGGAGCGAGAGCTCTGGATCCCGTCAGAGATAGCTCCAACAGATATGCTGGCCTACAGCTCCAGCACCCGCAGCTGGCTTATCTCCAGCCAAAGCAGCAAGAAAGGATCGTCCTTTCTACATAGTTAAGAAAATAGTCAAGAAGATTGAGACCGATCCTTAGCTTGTAGCCCTTGTGTCCGCAGAGTTGATACCATCTGTTGAGGCCGGGCAGAAGAGTAGGAGGTAGCAATAGTACTGTTCCCAGACTGCCACTGCACGATTGAATAACGAAGGCCCCCAGCTCCTGAGGTGAGCTGGCCCAAAAGGGCCCAGCAGAGAGCTCTGCTGGCCCTCCTGTCTGACTGACAGGGCCAAGTCCTTGGTTTGGTGCCTACTGAAGGTGTTGGAACACTCCTGAGGCACGACAAGGCTCCCTGAACTGCCTGACTACCGCTGTACCTGAGGAAGGGTTTCAGCGAGCCCCAGTCCACTACTTGGGTATTGGAACTGAACCTTCCAGAAACTTATTGGAGGGCATCAGCCTCCGGCTGCTTGTTCTCTTTATTTATACCGGTAATACAGTAGGTGGATTGCACGGTACCATGCAGTAGTCTATAGAAGCCAGCGAAACTCTCTGCCACAAGCTAGCTAGCAAATACTTTTTGATACTACAAGCTGATCTATACCATAGGCTGTGTTAGCTAGGGCATGGAGTCGAGTGACAGTCAGTGTGAATATTGCTGATGATGGTAGCAAAGGATCGGAATCCAACTCGAGCCAGGATATCGAACGATGTCTGGCTAGAGTGCTCTCAAACGTGATCAGATTACAACCGAGCCATCTCGATCAACTCGCTTCATCCGCCGTAGTTGCTGTGCTTCCTCCGGCTGTTCAACCGACTCTCGCACTTGCACTGCAATTTGCACGCCTTATAGTGAGCGAAACCGGGTACGCAACTGGAAACTGTTGTATTCTTCTTGTTGTTTTGCTTGTGGTTGGAGCTGCTTGGCAAGAACTCGCACCTGTGACACAGCTGATAGGGAAGCAGCGCCTTTTGTTGCGCAAAAGACCAGTTCTGGCGCAATCCCAGTTGGTGGGGCAATCGGCGGCCGAGTCACATTTTTGGGCAGACACCGTGTTGCTCAGGAGGAGGAGGAAGGGGATCATCATGGCAGGTGCACAAGGCCTTGAGTGACGCTTCAATTTTGTGGTGTCTCACGATACATTTAGTAAAATCAATCTTTTCTTTTACATCTCTAGATAGTCGAGATTTGGCCCACCAGGAATACAGTATTTCCCAGTTGTCACAAATTCTTCCAAGTTTTCACAAGTTTTTCCATCGAATCTGATCAAAATCCGAGCCAAGACTCAGTCCTTGATAGACAGGATGGCTGCAGCTTCCTCCTTGAATCAACACAAATAAAACATCTACCATCTCTGCAAGATGGCTTCTTCTTCTCCATCAAGGTACTCTCAAAGCTGTGGACGCGATGCACGAAGAGTAGCCTCCAAGTGCAACCCCAAGACTAGGTCCAAAAGTAATCTGGGTGATTAGAGTTAATGCAGCAACAGGAAAGTAAGAGCTAGCTACCACCAGAGCATTTGGAACAGCAAGACGTATCTGTCTCACCTCTGTAATTGTCGCACCGCTAGAGCTTTCGTTCTCTGGCAACCAACAGACCTGGATCCCAAAACCAACAGACCTGGATCCCAAAAATTGCGATGGTCGTAACAGGGACACAGGAAAGGCAATAGCCATCAAAAAAAGATGCGGTGAGGTTTGTTAAAACACTGCCAGGAGCCTCATCGATGCCATTGAAGACTTGAAGTAGCAAATCCAGACCAACATCTGCACCAGCAAGACCACCGAAACAGCTGAAATCTAGTTGGGCATTAGCTTGTCGACCATTGATTTCAACTGACGAAAAAGTAGCTTTTCCAAAAAACGACAAGAGGGCAGCAACACTCAATTGCAGGCCAGGCCAAACGTCACCATTATTGATAAATCCTGAGTACTGTCGCTCAGGAGGAGTTGGAGAGGCACAAGCAGAATAGTTGGCCTTGAATACATCCAAATACGGAACCGGGTGGGTTGCAAAGGCTTCTGCAAGAAGACTGTTTGCATCACTATCATCATCACCACCACGAAGCGCCAGAAAGTTTCGGTTTGTCAATCCAGTTGTTGTTTTGATTTCGTCAAGATAGACTTGAGCATTCAAGCCACTTTCTATCATAGCGTTCGCAGCACCAGTGACACAGCTGATAGGGAAGCAGCGCTTTTTGCGCAAAAGACCAGTCCTTGTGCAATCCCAGTTTGTGGGGCAATCGGCGACCGAGTTGCATACTTGGGCTGACACCGTATTGCTCAGTAGGAGGAGGAGGAAGGGGGCCATCATGGCAAGGCCTTGGGCAACATGGTGAAAGCAAATCATTGGCACCTTTAGAGAGATTTCAAGAAGGAGGGACAAATAATGCACTCCTGAACTGAATAGAGCATAGGGGAATCCACCGCCGCAAGTATGGGGCTTGTGGGAGAGATGTCCATCACAACCTTGAAAACGGATTATATTACTTCGATTTCCAGGTTTGGTGCGCCGCGACATGCGTTGGTTCCATGACAGGTACCAGAGGTGCGACGTACGACTGTGGTTCCATGACAGGTACCAGAGGTATGGTACGACTGTGCCTGGTACCATAGGGGCCTTCCCTCTCCCGCTGCTCCATCATTTTATGATAGATGACATTGTAATATCTACTGCACGTTTTCCAAAATCATCTAACTGGGGAGAGAGGTGCTCTGTGCTCTGTGCTCTGTGCCCTGTGGCTTCAGTTGTGGTGGCTGTTCCGTCGAAGAAATTTTGAAAACACGGAGCAGCGATGAATCGAATGATTCGATTCAATCGAATCGAGTGACAGTCGAATCTACGAATCTAATGATATATCGAACTTCATCGAATAATCATTCGATTGTCCGACCAGCATGCAATTTCCTCCACCAACCAATCATCTTCGCAGTTCTCTCCCATCTTCAGTCTTCATTCATGCATGAAGAAGGAATGATGAATCGAATCCAGTCAGCCACCCACCACCGCAGCCACTGCTTTGCCTAGTAGCCTCACCCCCTTGCTCCTTAAAACGTATCTATTAGTATTTACCTCGGCAGTCTTGCTGCCAGAGCCCTCAACCCCTTTAATTGTGTTTCCTGCTACGGTGGTCCCTGCAGGTATAAGGATAGGGTTAGAATACAAATAAGTCAGCAAAAACTAAAAAAGTATCCTAGGATGGTGCTTTTAAACCAGCTAAGGCTATTTGCATGCATCCTAGTAGGGGGGTCTGCTTCTACCAGGAAAAACTCTAAAGCTAGCAAAAGCTATATAACGAGTATTCTAGCTAGCTTGGGGTATCTGCTTCTAGCTTGCTATGGGAATCTGCTTCTAGCTAGGGGATCTGCTTCTAGCTATTTAAGCGCAAGTTAAGCACTAGCTAAGCACTACATGTATCTACTTCTAGCTAGCTAGCTAATAGGGGTATCTGCTTCTACACTGAAACCTTTCTGCCGAGGTTACACAGCTCCGCTGGCTTAATTTTTATTTCTTTGTCATTCCCATCAGTGGAAGGGGGGCGATTCATTCCATTTTTGAAAATTGTAAAAATCAAAGTTCGAATCGAATGATTCAATCGATTGATTGATCAGTTCATTCAAATTTCCACTTTTTGGATTCTTCAATAAGTCAAATTCATGTTTCTGTATTTTTTAGTTTTAGGAATATCTTTTCGGATCTGGTCCTCGAGAATAAGTTGGACACTTCCATCTTCCTTTGACTTCTTGTCATGCACTCGTGGCCTTGTCTGTTTCTGTTTGTCGACAACAAACCAACTCCCATCTGATTGATTGGATTGGATTGATAATGCATCTGTGTGTATCTTCTGCCTATGTGCTGTTGGTGGCTCTGCTAGCAGCACTGATAGTCTCCTGTGCTGTGAATGCCTTTGTTCCACTGGCTGCCTACTACTTCTAGGGTTTCCAGTCGTACCAGCCACGTGGTGGTGAATGCCAAATCCTCGTCCAAGGCAGCAACATCCAATAATGATGGTGTAGATAAGAACAAATTGGCCGCTCTGGACGGCGTCATTAATCAAGTTGAATTGCTTATCCTATGGGCGTGGCTCGATGTCATTGATTCTGTGGCAGCACTGGTCCCTCGTGCCGAACTCGAAGGAGATATGAGTGATTCTCAAATTGGGTTACAGGCGAGACTCATGTCATGTACAAGGCCATGCGGAAAATTACGGGATCTCTCACGGCTTCTCAGACGGTTGTCATTTTTCTCAATCCTCAATTTGAAGATCCAAGGTGCGTGTGTATCGATCGGAGTGCACGCTTCAGGTCAGGTGTACGAATTATGACAGCTTCCATCACACCCACTGGTGCACTCCAGCTACCGGTAGAGCTTCTCGAGCTCTGACCTGGACTGAGATTCGCGACCCGAAAGTGGCGGCGTCGGTGTACTAGTACTACAGTAGTAGTCTACATGCACCGTAAGGGAGCTCTCGTTTTGAGCCCAATCAAAATACGGTACAGTGTACGTGGATAGCTCTTCTTCTCCTTTGACAACGGGCAGTGTCTCTGCCACCCCCTGGTACTAGTCTATACTTTTACCATAGAAGCAAGCAAGCAAGCGAGATTTGGAGGTGGTCTAAAAGCAAGTCGACAGCCAGTGCAGCAGTAGCGGTCTTTGAGGGATGATAGTAGAGAAGACCGGCTCAGTCAGTAATGCAGAAGACCCAGATAGTTTTATTATTTGGACTCGACTCTTTCCACAGTTTCCTCCATGCCGAGAAGGCTGGACGGGTGCTCGCTCTGCGACTGCTTGTTCCCACAGTGCTCTATTAGATTTGGAAGGTCGTGGTGTAGATAGCTAAGATAGCTACCGTTTCATAGCTAGCAGACTCGGCTTTCGCCAGCAGCCAGACATGTAGACATTTAGAACATGCATGTAGGTGGCGAGCTTTCAGATAGCCAACACCCCAAGATACCGGTACCGTACCGGTACAGTATCCCTTCGAACACACCATCGGAAGTCTGGACATTATTGTGAGCTTGTTATCAGTCAGTGATTGATAACCACTGCCCACAAAATTTATTTAATTAATTTTAAAATTGCTACTCAGGACTCTGGAGTACTGAGCAATCAGGAAGTTCGAGAATAATACCCCCATGACTGACATACGTACATTCTCACCATTGATGTTTAATAATGTACAATACCGAGAGGTGTGGAGGCTGGGGCATATATCATATAGTTGTGGACAAAAAGTGACCATGTACGATGTATGTCTAAAGACAGCTGCCTCACTTTTTCTTTCCTGTCACCGCGTCTCATAATGATCAATCGCCGCAAGCAAGCAATAGTTTATGTATAGGTTCTTGTCTATCTTTTTGCTTGGATTGCCAACAAGAGTTGAGTGTTGAGTGTTGACAGCGAAACCAACGACCAAGAGACTGCGAGTTGAGTTGAGTTCTTCAAAAAAGAGTCCTTCTTGTCACTTGCTTTCCCACAAAAAAAAGAGTTCAGGTGCTGTACGCACTGTACATCACATCATCGACCATGGCGAGTGGTGCTTTCAACAACGTCCAAAGGATCTTGTGGTCCGTTTGTTTCTTGGTATTGACAACAACAACAACAACACTACTGTTACAAGCACAACAAGTCGTGGCGTACAATGAGGCAGCAGCTCGTGCGGGAAGGCCCAAGCTCCTCTCCGCCCTTTTAAAGAATCGGTTTCCTCGTCGTTTGCAACAGCAACAGAACAATACTACCAGTACTAGTAGTAATACTAGTAATAATACTAGCAGTGGCACCACCTTTACCACGGTTTGGACAGAAGACGGCTCCAACATGACCTTGTCGAAAGATCAGTGTGATGCCTACTGTCCTTGTTCAGCATCAGACACTACTGATGTATCATCATCTGTATCCGTATCCACAGAACACCGCTTGAAACTGCGCTTTCTCAATTTTGAACCAGGCGGCGAATGGTTGGAACCGATTGCCCGGGCATTTGAAGCCCACCACAATGTCGAAATTGAATTGGTCTATATATCGATATCATGTCATCGGCCGAAGAAGTCGTCAATGAAGCCAAGAGTCGATTCGATTCGATTGGCATTCTACTGTATGATGGATTCTTTACATTTCCATCTCTCGTTGTTGGCAGGCGAAGCAAGTACTGGAACATGACGGATGGGCCGATTTGACCGATCATGTCTACAATGCGGGCAAAGCGTGTCGAAGAATGGGCCGATATATGCATTGTTGGGCTATCGCAAGTATATTGCCCAATACAAAGACCGCATTCTGATGTTTCCACTTGATGGCGATTCCTTTTCGCTGTTTTATCGAAAAGATGTACTGGAGCATTTTGATTTGCAAGGACATGGGAGGAATACATTCATGTGGCCAATGTATGTGACTCATGGTCAACCAAGTCTTTGCCAACAAGACACTGTCGGGTTCTTGTTTGGGACGAGCACCGTACTGTACTGTACCAGTGCCTATTCATGCCATTTTAAAACATGTTGGCCAGCATGACCCAAACACAGGGAGCATGGCAAGGATTCATGTTTGATACGGATCAACACCATGACACCACTGTTGGGCAATGCCATGGAACAAGTCTTAGAGTGGCAAGAACAAACGGTGCTGTTTGGTGCAGCAGCACCAGAATTTGAATCCTGTATTGAACTCAATTTGCACAAAATGAATGCCGGAGAATGTACCCTCACTATTAATTAATTGGGGCAACAGTTTTAAAGGATATCAAGATGATGGGGACTTTTTAAAAGGCCGATTGGGAGTGGCACGTACACCGGGGTCGACGCGTGTTTTGGATCGAGCCACGGGCGAACTGGTCGAGTGTACGCCCGAACGGTGTCCCTTTGCGACACGGCATGACTCGTCAATGCCCCGCCGTATTTGGAGGATTTTCCTGTGCCGTCAACAATTATACCAAAGATCGTGCCAAAGCAACAAGCCGCCACGGACTTTTTGTGCCTTTACATCGTCCACCCGTCAATCCATCCAAGGAATCATTCCATCAGCCGGCAGTGAGAACAATGGGCAAGATCCCTTTCGATTGTCGCGGCCGAAGATTTGTACGTGGCACAAAAGGATACGAACGCAATGTTACGATGGATTTTCTCCAAACCGTCCAGGAAAGTATCGAATCGGATAATGTGGTGGTCGGTGACAAGTTCCCGGTAGCGACCGGGATTCTCTTTACTACGGATATTGAAGTCCACACGTACCTCCACAACTTTTGGACGACGAGTCAGGCAACAATATCCAACAACAACAACAACCAAACGCAGCAACAGTTCCAAGAAGCAACGGCAATGGCACGAAAAGAATTTGTAGCGGCGCTCACGGACAAGGTCGTCTCGGCCATTGACACGTACGACGCACTCCCGACAACCCGCGTACCGACATTGGAAGCGTATCAGCGACTACGAGGAGTCTACCACCCGGCACACAATCTCAATCAGATTGGCACCAGTATTCAAGCCTACGGATATGGATTGATTGCTCAGTGTTATTTATCTCGTCGCCCTTTTGTTTGGGGTATGGTCCATTCGACATCGAACCGACCGAATTGTCCGGGCATCCCAGCCACTCTTTCTCGTGTGCCGGAGCAATCATCTTTGGATCGGCCATCAATTGTCCCACTCGGGATTGATGATGATGATGATTCCTGGAGTCAACAAGCCGCCAGTGTGGCATGCATGTCCGTGCCTTGGTTATTGGCCATTGGCTTTACCACGGCATTTGCCGCCTTGTACAGTAAGGTGCATCGTGTCAACATTGTATTCAAGAATGCCAACAAGTTTCGCCGTGTAGGTACGAGTCACAGAACGAGACGTTCTCATGCCATTTACGGTCCTCATTGTCTCCAATACCATTCTGCTGTTGATCTGGACGTTTGTGGACCCGCTCGAGTGGAAGCGCATCTCGACTGGAGAGCTCAGTTCCTATGGCACGTGTGCCTCCAGTTCCGACGATGGAGTTGCCTCGGAGGTATTGGGAGGTCTCGTGGGCGGCTTGAATGGTATTGCCCTCATTTTGGCCAATGTCGAAGCATTCAAGAGCCGGCACGTCGATACAGAGTACAATGAGAGTTCGTCCATTGCCGTTGCCATGGGATTCATACTGCAGATTGTCTTGGTCGGAGTACCGACACTCTTCTTGGTGGATGAAAACCCCGCGGCATCGTACTTTGTTCGGTGTTCGATTGTCTTTGTCATTGCCATGTCATTGCTACTACTTGTCTTTGTCCCAAAAATCATTGCATGGCGCAAACAAGCCACGGGAGGACCAACGGCAAGGCCATCTGCAGGTCGCTCCACTCAAATGGAAAGCAACAACCACCGGAGATCATCTTATTTTGGGCTGAAAATGAAAATCTATGAGCCACAGGTAAGAAAGAAACATGTCAAAAGAATGCCTTTGCTGTCAGCTTCTGACTGCATCTGACTGATTTCAATCGTTCTTGTTCAATCTCCTCGACCTGTGCTTTATATAGTCGATGCACATGGGTTCCTCCTCCGCGTCTTCTACTCAGGTGGCAGCTATCATGGACAAAGTCGACAAGCTTGAGGCGTTGCTTCGGGAGGAAGGTGTAGACGTGGACACGCTATTCCAGAGATCCGGACTGAACGTGATCCAACAGAGCAGCGGTCACAATGGTAGTAGTGATGCTTTTGGCCTGTGCAAGGATGCGAATGGGTTGCAAAGCGGGGTAATAGCCGATGACGACGGCGGTTCAGACATGAACGCATAGTGTTTTAAAAAGTGAGGAGCAGCAGTGCCGAATCAATCAATCATGATTGATTAATCGACGACTGCGAAAGCAAATCAAAAGAACTCTATTGTATTAGTCTAGGCTAGTAAAAATAGCTAGACCCTACTGTACAGTAACCATGGATTGGATGATCCAAGGAGAAACTTCTGATGATCCGCTTATTGCTGTATCAATACGCGACCATTGACCATGCATTGAGGCGTGCGGACAAACAGTCAGTGACACCAAAGAAAAAGTGAGGGTGTTCTTTGATACAGTACAGTCGTACGCCGTTTTCAGATCAGACTGGAACTTTTTGTTTTGTCCACAACCATTATTGACAACCTATGGGGCATTATTGGGAAAGTAAGTATTCTCGAACTTGCTGGTACTTAGTATGGTGGTGGTCAGTGGTTATCAATCTCAATCACAAACAAGCTCACAAGCTCACAATAGTCTAATATCCGGCAGCCTTCCGATGGCGTTCAAAGGGATAAAAGGGAGTTTGGCTGGCTGCCTTGCTTGTGTCAGGTCTAACTAATCAGCAAGTTGACTCGACTCAGAGGTCAGATCTATGATAGAGGGGCAATCACCTTCCTCTCCAGTTAGATGCCTTTCGGAAAACATGCAGTAGATATTACTTGTATGCATGAGTTTATGCATGTATCATGCGGACACGTATTATTGAATGTAGATCAGCGAGGGAGGGAAGACCGTTAGGTGACGGTCCTGGTTACGTGCACCGTAATTGAATCCGTTTTCAACGCTACCGTACCATGCAGTCTTGGTACCGGTAACGGGAAAAGTTACTATGGGTTAGAGAGAGCGGTACCACCGGTAACGCTCCGTTCTGATGAATGATCAATCGACCGCTTCCCAACCTCACCACTTCTTGGCAGTGGATTCGATTCCATTTCATTCCATTCAGTGCGTTAACAATTATAAAAGCTCTCTAAAGGTGCCAATGATGTTCTTTCACCGTGTCGCTAAAGGCTTTGCCATCATCGCCCCCTTCTTCCTCCTCCTGAGCAATACAGTGTCAGCCCAAGAATGTGACTCGGTCGCCGATTGCCCCACAAACTGGGATTGCGCCAGAACTGGTCTTTTGCGCAAAAAGCGCTGCTTCCCTATCAGCTGTGTCACAGGTGCCGCGAATGCTATGGAAGAAAGTGGCTTTAATGCTCAAGTCTATCTCGACGACATCAAAACAATGACTGGATTGACAAGAAACCGAGACTTTCTGGCACTTCGCGGTGGCGATGATGACAGTGATGCAAGCAATCTTCTTGCAGAAGCCTTTGCAACCTACCCGGTTCCACATTTGGATGTATTCCAGGCCAACTATTCCGCCTGTGCCTCTCCAACTACCGGTGAGCGACACCTCCAATTCAATGATGGTGAAGTTTGGCCTGGCCTGCAAGTGAGTGTTGCTGCCCTCTTCTCGTACTTTTATAAACAAACTTGGTGGTCAGGTGAATTCGTTGGTAGACAAGTTTCTGCCACTTATGCTGCGAACTGTATTGGTGCCCTTGTGGGTGCAGATGTTGGTGTGGATTTGCTACTTCAAGTCTACAGTGGTGGCACCAACGCAGCCATTGGTGGCATTCTCAGTCGGGAGACCATTTCAAGTTCCGGTACCATTGCCTGTGTCCCTGTAACTACCATCGCCATTTTTGGGATCCAGGTTTGTTGGAATCCAGACCAAACTCAGGGTGATTTGGTTGTTACTGAGGTGAGACTTCTTCTTGCTACTCCAACTGCTCTGGTGCTAGCTAGCTAGTCCTCTTAGGTCTTCTTACTTTCCTGTTGCTGCATTCAACTCTAATCACTCAACAGATTACTTTTGGACCCAGTCTTGGGGTTGCACTTGGAGGTTACTCTTCGTGCTTTGCGACCCAAACAGTGACATTTTGATGGAGGAGCAGCAACCATCTTGCAGAGAGGGTGGGTGAAATTGAGCCAGATTGTTTTTAAAAGTGTTTGTGTTGATCCAGGAGAATGGGGATGATGAAGGAACGAAGGAATTACTGGTACCAGTCTGCCACAATCCGATTTGAAACACAGCATGTTGTGAAAATCGGATTTGGATCTGATTTGTAAAAAAGCTATGAAATCCGGTAAAATTGGAAAAGCGTTCAAAGTGACATGGAACTAAACGGCAAACATTCGTAATAGTTGTACGTCGTACATGTATCCAGTACCAGGTACTCCTTGTTCCTCCTTCTTTTCTGAGACCGCCAATAAGGACGGGAGTGGAGGAATTCACAAAAGACAGACAGGGCTGAGTGGCATACATTGAAGTTTTCGGAATACTTGGAAGTGCTGGCTTGAACGGGTACCGCCACACGAAGGAAGGCGACGACTGGTACCGTATTTGCCCATTTGGTTGCTCGTACCAGTGGGCTAAACAATCCAGGGACAGGTCACCACTCCTCCAGCTAGAATCTCCACATCTCCACCATAAAGATCTTTCATTTTAAAAACGTAATATTCCAAAAGCTTCAATTTGGCAATCCAAATCAAAGAAACCGACAATAAATTGAGGATTCAACTCCCGTTGTTTGGAGGGCCGGCTGCAATCGATGCATGTGCTACTGGCATTGGGACGATCGCAGTGGCGCTCTCAACCTTCACCGCTAGCTAAGTAGTCGTTGTCCTCGCATCCATTCCCTTTCCCCAACAGGCCTTCGGCCGTCGGATCCTTCCTTGTCGTCCTTTCCTTCTTCCGTTGGCTGCATTCCCGCATTCAGCCCCTGCACTGCAGCGCTTGACATCGCTCCCCAGTCCATTCCCACACATAGTATACTGGCTCGCTACAAGCAACCACGTAATAGGTACGATAGTAACAATATCCGTTCATTTATGCATACTACTCCCTGGTCGAATGCATGCATGGATCCTCTGCATGATTGATCCCAACCTCTCCTCGAAGCACAGCAAAACAATGCGCAACCCAGCTCCATTGTTGCAAATCTTTCTTCTTCACCCCCCCCCCCCGTGCACGCACAAGCAAAGTGACGATTCTAGCTAGAGACGGCATGCGCCGGAACGAATCGAATTGACGTTTTCAATTCACAAAATTGTGCCCGAGCGTCCGAGTTGTAGCCCAAGAGAGGCAAGCAAATCAATCGGCACCAACCATGCATGTGGCATTTTTTTTTTTTTTTTTTTTTTTGCCTCCGTCTTTGAACGGTGGTGGTGCAGGCCATTAGTGCCGCTGATTGACTGCCATGGTCGCCATTTGCGCCTGGCTCCTCCTCCTCCAAGAGTGTAAACTGGCTACTTTTTGTCAATCCGGTGGCAATTTCAGTCTTCATTCCCTCGTACTGTGTGTTGGCTCGCATCTTTTTCCACCCCTCATTCTTTCATGGGTTTGCACCTAGAGTAAAGGTGGTTTACAGTTCGACTGTATACCACTCCGGGTGTCCGCTGACTCAGTTGACATGGGGCTTTCGGCATCGTGTCTGCGACACGCTGTTCGTCAGCACATGGGCTCTTCTCAGTTGAATGTTGGGTTCCAACGGTTTTGGATTGGTGCACTGGTGCACTGGATATCACCGTTGTTCCCCAAGGCTAGCACTATCGTTTCGACACTACATACTCTAGGTGTATTTGGTCGTACCTAAATAGTCCTAGTGAACTGCCCATGCCAACCAGATTGCGGACAGCTGAGGCGGTGCCTGGGAGTCGAGGAAGACTCCCAATTGTCACATGTTATTTTCTTACACACTGACAACTACGCTGGCTATCTAGCCATGCGGCAAAATATCTAGCCGGGACTCTAGCCAAATGCTTTGAAAACCAAAAGAAATTCGCATTCCATGCCAAGAACTGAATATGTACCATACACCATACTTAATTTAAGCCAGCGGAGCTGTGTAACCTCGGCAGAAAGGTTTCAGTGTAGAAGCAGATACCCCTATTAGCTAGCTAGCTAGAAGCAGATACCTGTAGTGCTTAGCTAGTGCTTAACTTGCACTTAGCTAGCTAGAAGCAGATCCCCTAGCTAGAAGCAGATTCCCATAGCAAGCTAGAAGCAGATACCGTATACCCAAGCTAGCTAGAATACTAGTTATATAGCTTTTGCTAGCTTTAGAGTTTTTCCTGGTAGAAGCAGACCCCCCTACTAGGATGCATGTAAATAGCTTTAGCTGGTTTAAAAGCACCATCCTAGGCTACTTATTTAGTTTTGCTGACTTATTTGTATTCTAACCCTACCCTTATACCTGCAGGGACCACCGTAGCAGGGAAGACAATTAAAGGGGTTGAGGGCTCTGGCAGCAAGACTGCCGAGGTAATTATTCAATGAGGAGCTTGGATTTGAGCATGGACAGTCGCAACCACACAGCTGGTCGGTGTATTCAAAGCGGAGAATACAATTCCTGAACCCCGAAAACACGAGGAATTCTGCATGAAACAGAAATCATCTGCCAGCGTGCCGAATAGGCCATCATTTCCATTCAGGTCCAAATGGGCCAGTTCGGATGACAAACTCAATTCGGATGGAATGGTTCCTGTCAGCAGTGCAAATTGCTTACATTCAGTACTTGAAGGATTGTCATCGCACCATATTCAGAGGGGATGTTGCCAGAGAATCGGTTGCCTCCCAGGTCCAGCCATCTGAGGCTTGCCTCTGATTGATAACTAATAGGAAGACTGCCAGAAAAGTCATTGTATTCGAGGTCAATCCTCACAAGAGCAGTCAGTTCCTGCAGTTCCTTTGGGAACGGCCCGAATAGCTGGTTCCTCGTAAGCTCGATATCTTGCAGCACGGACAACAGACCAATCCCGCTCGGTAGCGAACCAGTCAGCGAAACATTTTTCAAGGCAAGCCAATCCATGTTTGTAGCCATTCCAATTTCGCTTGGGAGGGAACCTGTCATCATTGTATTGCCCAAAGGCAACCAAGTGAGCTGTGTTAACAACCCAACCTCACTTGGAAATGTGCCAGGTAGAAGACTCCCCTGCTCATGGTTATTGCCCACACCCAAAGATTTCAGGGAAGTCATCAACCAAAGCTCACTGGGAAAAGTGCCTGAAAGATATGGCATTGTAAGGTCCATTGACCTCATGCTGGTCAACAGCCCTAGCTCACTGGGAATTGGGCCTGTGAAAAGGTTTGCTAACGTATAAACCCAACAGATCTGTCATCAAACCAAGTTCTGTAGGTAGAGCACCGGTCAAATTTGGCCCCATCCTGATGGACACAATATTTGTCGTGCTGTAAAACTCAGATAGGAAAAGATCAGCAAACCTCACCTAGGCTCCCAAGAATTGCAGCGTTAAATGTGTCAAGGATGTCAAAAGGGAAATCTCCGGTGGAACAGCAGGAAAGAAACCCTGTAGCTCAAGATTTCCCAAATTGAGAGATGTGAGTTTTCCGTGGTTGATACATGGCAGATTTTTGAATACAGGGTCAAATTCGTAAAATCTTCCATCTGAGAAGAACCCAAATCCACGGGAAAACCAAAGGCACTCCTCTTCTGTATCATCCATCCACCTCTCCCGAATGGGCTGCCACCAGTTTTCTCCCTCAAAGGAGTAGAAGAATGTGGCCATGGCAAACAACTGCATCTTCCTCCATTCGGGCAGAAACGTAATGTTTTGATGATTGGCTACCCAGTTCCATGCTTTCCACTGAGGGGTGTCACTGTTACTGTTAAAGATGCCGGCCAAAGTATGGTTGGGTAGATTATCCAAAAGCACCACCAGAACCCCTGTGGGGGCAGAGGATGGAACTCCAGAAGGTTCCATAGAAAGGTAGACTGTATGTGTAGGTGTGTCAGCAGCACCACTGAATAAATCCTTCTTGCTTGTTCCAGCAACAGTGCCAACAATTGCAGCAGCAGCAAGAACAATCAAAAATAGAATGAAGATGAAGGTCTGTTGCTGTTTCTTCCACTCTTTCTCTCTCTGTAGAGCAGCTTCCAAATCAACTGGGTTGGCATGCATTAAATTGGCAGCAGCCTCTGAGTCCTCTATTACTGGGTTGGCCACAGCCAACTGATCGTTGCTGACAGCTTGCCTTGTTGCAGCACATGTGGTGATCTGGTCAATGTTTGGGATTGGATCATGATTGTTGTTGGTGGCACCTACCAGGCAAAAATCAAGATTGGTGGCTCGCTGTTGGGAATTCCCCATAAAGGCTCCAGGACGAGTATCCGGTCGGTGGTTTGCTCCTCGATGTACTAACCTTGTTTGCTCTATTCCTCCTACAGCAACATCCAAAATTGAGTGATCCTGTATCCCACCATTATTAGTAGTAGTTGGATTGATCCGGGTGTCTCTTGTTGTGTTGTTTTCAGCATTAGTTTCGGTTGCTCCCGTGCTGCACTCGAGATTATTGGTGTCCACACCAATGAGGTTTTGAGAGGATGCTTGATTCTCTTCCTCCAGAGCGTTTTCAGGGTTCTGGCTTCCAGGTGTTTCTTCCTCTTGGACCTCTTCGGATGGCGGCTTGGCATCAGTTGTTCCTTCCTCCTTGGATGCAGATGTCTCTGTTTGGCGTTGGGACTCATCGCCATCACTGTCATGTTCACTGGAATCCTTATTCATGGCGACAGCTACCGGTATCTAGCTAACTAAAGAATGGTTGCACTGGATTACCACCAGCAACGGGCAAGTTTTGGAAGCGTTCAAAGATATGCATGCAATGTGCAATGAAGTCTCGTGTCGGGTTGTACGCACACCGTTGCAGGCTTGAAGCAGTCAAAGTCATCAAAGCTACATGTCAGCTACATGCGTCCTTTGGCGCACTAGGATCGGTGGATTTTCCAGGACTGATTGAGTCACCATCAATGCGGCACATCGAACCATATGCATGTACTAGTATCTTCTTGGGTGCACCTTCAAATTCCGGCTGCTCTCCTCTCTGCTGGAGTTTTCCCGCTGAAAGATGCAGCAGTGGTGGGAAGACTTTCTCTGAGGCTGTAAAAGTATCTAAATCTGTTAAAAGTGACAAAAGACGGTAAAACACTCGGTAAAACAGCAAAGTATAATCGGGAAACGGGCAAATAAAGGCAGTTGGAGGCGTTGGAGGTCAAAGGCGGTCGAAGATGGTTGAAATGGTTAACCATGCAAACATGCTAATGCACTACGCTAAAGGCTAGTGTAAAGATCTTTCGAGTGTTTTGAGTTTGAGAGAATGAAAGTTATGAGAGAGATTAGAAAGCTACGAAAACTAATCCATGAGAGAGATCGTTGTGAAGCTCATTGAAGTTGGTCTCCCGTGGGAGGCCTCGAAGTGTGATATCGTAGGTTATGGCAATAACTCTACGTACTCCACGGTCCATTTCCGGAACACGTGGAAACTTCAGCTAGGAGCTGTCTAGTAGCGTGGAAGCTTTCCACGCCGGCTAAATATCTAGAGCGATGTTTCATCATCAACCTAGTATGACTAGAGCGGTCATTGAGAACCCTGTCTCAATGACTGTTCGCGAAGGACTACGTCATGAGTCGAACTCAAACCCTATCTAGGATCGAGTCGCGAATAAGGCTAAGAGCCGTGTATTGCATTCGCCCCCTGACAAGGGTCACAGAAGGCGCGACAGCAGTCGGACAAGGAGAACATATGAATTAAGTGCGGGGCACTCTCAACGGAGATTGGAATGTAGACATGTGCGTCGCACGAATGGCAATCCTACAGGGGATCAGGGCTTGTATCGGTGTAAATACCGAATGTATCCAAGTCCTGGTAGACTGTGCCGCTGTTGGCGTAAGCCATTGTGACGCCGTACGTGTGCCTTTGTTAATGACTCGGTCTTCTGATTGTAAGGATCGTTTTGGCTGACCGTACTTGCGGTGTGTGATACTGTTGAACTCACTAATATTGTTGACATGTTATTTGATGAGGGACACGCGTCGTGTTTCCCTTACTCATTGTTTTTTGGAAGAGTCGTTGCGACGTTCTTTGATGTGTTTCAGTTTAATTCGAAAGGAATTTGTGAATCGCGTCACGATTGAAAACGGAGCTAGTGAATGAACTTGCGACTAAGTCCATGATGCATCCCGTAGAGTCTTCTTGACTTCTGCGCGGAACTCACTTCTCCATATCCATGATAACCTCAGTAGGCCAGTGGATACTGGGTGAAGCCACGTCTGTTCAGAACGATGGCTACTTCGGTCTGCTGCAATTGGAGCGAGATCCTCGGCAATCTCGAACATGGTTCGGTTAAGGGATCAATCATTTTCAAGCAAAGAAATGGACAGGGTTCCTTTTCTTGGGATCCTCAGACGTCTATGATGTACATGCTGATCTCTGATCCATAGTCTCGATAGTAGTTCACTAGTCCAATGAATCTACCAAGCGTTTCTTCCTGTTCGTAGGAAGGAGCGAAAATTTGATCTCGTCTATTTTCGTGGTTACGGGTGGATTCCATCTCAAGTAATCCAGTGGCCTAGATTTTCAAGTTCTCTTCTTTCAAAGAATGACTTGGTAGCATTCATCTTAAGTCCAGATTCTCAAAGCCTTCGTAGAGAACTTCATCCATCTTTTCATCGTGATCTGCTAGATCGTCTTTAGTTAGGATGAGTAGATATTCAATGTATGCACGGACATTCTCCAAGTCGTGCATGAGTATTCCCAATTTCTCTTGGAAGATGTCGGGACTTTTGCATAGGCCCATCGGTTCTCGCTGGTACTCGTATTGCCTGAATCTGTCTAGATTCCGTAGCATGTTTTGTATCCTTGGGATCGGACGCGGTTTTGGCTCAAGTCTTTTGTTCAGTTCCCGGAGTCAGAGATGAATCGCTATAGATCTATTCTTTTTGGGAATGATAATAGTTGGTGCCGTCCACTCGGTACGGTTTACCGTCTTAAGTGCTCATGCGTCGCAGAGACGTTCAAACTACATCTTAAGAGTGTTGCTATGGACACGTGGAATAGGGTAAGCCCTTGCTTGATAGGTTTTAGCATCATGGAGAAGTTTTACTTTGTAGTCGTCCATTTGTCGTTTTCCTAAAGTACCTTCGATTTGGTCGGAGCACTTGGTCATTAAGGCATGAAGCGGTTCATGCTCTTATTTTCTTCCGTTGGATTGCTTCTTTCATAGGGAAAGATGTGATATTCCACTTCGCTGACGGGTAGTGAAATCGAACTGATTCTTAGATCGGAAGAGGACAGGTCTCACCTATGATCATGTCATACGCCAACAAGCTCTTGGTGACGTATAAATCCCACTCGATAATACTATCTTCATGGAATTCAGTAATCATAAATGCACCCTTACACTTCGTGCTTGGGTTTAATTCCTTTACAGGGTGAGTCCATAGTGTTTGGACACCCCCTGATTTTATGCTTTTTCTCTTACATGATTTGGTTAATCCGGTTAGGACGCTCTGCAATAATCCAGTAAGCAAGCGATGTCTGTAACGCGGTTTTTCCTTTTTCTCGTCTTTTAAATCTTACATAGACGATGGGTTTTTGGTCTCTTGTCTTGCGACGTTGACGAGGTGGCTGGCCACGGACGAGGTTATCAATGCTGGATAGATCGTCATAGTCTAGTTGAGCAGTTTTTAGGCAATTATCTAATTAGCCGTAGACTTCATCAGTAGCAAACAATTCTTGTTTAAAAGTTAGTGAGATATCTTCTCATAGGTTGAGAAATTGGAATATGGTTCCGTTGAATCATTATTCTGGCCTAATCCTCAGACTGTGATCTCTCCATCTGAATGTTTGAAGTCGAAGTCGGCAAGAGCCTGGTCGACTGCAGCCATTTTATTGTCCATCATGTTGAGGGACCGGACAGAGGAGTCATCCTCTGTTGTCAGAGTCGGCCGACTTGCGTTTGGCAAAATGGTTGCATTCGCTTTTTTTCTTGCGATCAGCCTTGACCACAGCGTTGGAGACTTTCATCATAAGGACAGAAAGTTACTTTTTGGTGTAGGACTTCAGCAGTCCATCAGGACATTGCGTTCCATTGTCATTGATTCTTGCTTGTACGCTGGCTTTGCTATCGTTGTCAGACGAGGACTTGGCTCTGAGTTTCTTAAGAGTCATGCAATCAGCACAATTGTGAGTGCTGG